ATATTCTGAGTTAGGATTTAAGTCTAGTGCATTGAGGAATAGAGAAGTGATGGCTATGTTTTTGGAGATAGATTCTTAAAGATTAATGGTAAAAAATAAAATCATAGGTGAAAGAAGCCCAGTCCATGGAGGCCTTGAAATAATAAGATAAAAGACAAAGATTTGGTTTGGAGAGTAATGAAGAGCCAAAAACATTTTCAGTCTGTAAGAGCATGTCTATAATAGAAAAACGTGGATATGGAAGACTAATTAAAAAGTTCTCTCATGATGCATAAGTGAATCTAAAAAACACACTGTTGCCCAGCCAGGCGTGGCTCAGCGGTTGAGCATCGACCTAGGATCCAGGCGATCGGGGTTCAATTCCCGGTCAGGGCACATGCCCAGTTGTGGGCTCTATCAATGACTCTCTCATCATTGATGTTTCTTGTCTCTCTTCTTCTCCTTTCCTCTCTCTCTAAATCAATAAGGATATATTTTTAAAAAATAAAAAGTAAAATAAAAAACACAGTGTCAGAGTTGTTTCCGAGGAGGAATCTAGAGGACGGTCTTACTCATCAAAGGGATTACAGAAGACTGTAACCTCACCTTTGTCCCTTTTCCACAAATCCAAATCTCTCTTCACATTTTGGGTTAACTTCCACTTCCTCCATTAAATGATCAATATGAATTTTTTTCTCTCTCCTATAGTTTTCAAGCAAAGAAGATGAGGGGGTGGATCTCAAGTGTGTAAAAAATCAAAAAATCAACATGATCCTTAGCTGACTTCAGTGATGGTCATTTGATTTAACCCCAGAATCTCAAAGGACATTTATCTTTAACTGATGCTGTTTGGTTTACTTGTGTTTTGGAAACAGTGTCTCTCGGGTTAGGAGTCTCTGCTGAAATATCATGACGGCAATGCCAAGGAAATCCCTTTAGAGTCCATGGAAAACTCTAACTTTGTCCTGAGGCTAACATAATTATTGTCACTGACCTATTGGTAGAGAGAGTACCTTAAATTTACTTAATTTATTCTCAAATGATTTAAAGACCAAGATTTTTATTCTTCATTTCTCTAAAAGCAAACAGCATCAGTTGGCCAATCAGCTACTATAAAATGTTTGTCAGTAAACTCAAAATATGAGGACTGATTTCTAATTTATTTATATTAAAGCATTAAAATGCAGAAATACATATTTCCCTAAAATATGTCAGCAGTTTTAAATGGTTTTGTATTTTATCCACTTAAATATTTTCTTGGCCTGTCTCTAAATTGAAGACATCATGGAAAGCCGTATGAGACGTAGTAGTACAGTGGGTCATTCTGTTCTATTCTGAGCTCAAAAATACCATTGTCTTATCAGTAAATATACAGGTAAGGCTATTACTAACTTTGTAAAATAATTATGGGATATAAAGTAAAATTGATTTCTAATTCAGTTGAATAATATGTATTTCATATTGGGGGAAGGAGAGTGAGTTTTCACTCATTATTCTGATCCATTATTTTCTAAATAAAATAGTGATTATTGAAAACTAAACCAGAATTCGTATGATATGTTATCAATTGATTTGCCATTGTGTTTTGCGAAAATAATAAAAAGCTGTGTGTATGTTTTGCATACTTTTACTTAGTTTTTCCAAAATACTATAATTCTAAACAGTATTTTTAAAGTGTTATGGACCTAAAATTCAAAAGACAAACTTATCCTGTTCATTTGATTATAATCCTCTAGTGATAAGACTCCAGAAAACCTTACCACACTATATGAACAAATAGAAAAATAGTATATTAAATTCAGTGTAAACAATGATAATAGAAAAAACTAAACAGAATATGTTTTAAAAACAGTGTGCTCTAATTAACCATTGTATGCTCTTTTTAAAAACTGTCTACCGAAAAAATGCTGAGGCTAAATATTTTTAGCAATTTATGTAAGAAAAGAAAGATGATGTTGACATTTTTTTAAAAACCATGTTTCTTGTAATATTATGGTAGCTAAACTGTAGTAAATAATAAGCTTGGGTGTTCATTGAGTTCCAATATACATATGGTGGGTTAGGAGTAAATGAGTTTGTAATGTAAATAATCATATAATAAATGCAGAACCTCCAAAAGAGAATACAAGATAGGTATTTATCATGAGGAATATGAATATTGTGAGTGGAGACTTAGTTGCCAAATCTCATAATATTAGATGTGCATGTAGGATACTTAAAACTAGAGACAGAAAATATTAGGATAAACAAATAATTAAGAATAATTATTTCTTGGGAAATGTGTTATATTAATATAAGAGTAAGATCAGAATGTTGAACTAAATACAAAATGGTATAAAAATTAACTTATATTCTCACCCTGTCTTAAAGATGAGTAGGTCTTTCTTTAAAATATCCCTTGGTAAACCTAGCTGTGAAAGGATACTAAGCTAGAGAAACCATTTAAAAAACTCACTGTGATTCTGTGGAGTTTTTAATATTAGATATTTCAAATGTCTAAAGAGCAATTTATTTTCAAACACCACATCAATCCCATAAGAAAGTATTTTAAACTTGTTTATTTTTTCCTGGAGAAAAAGACAACATAAAAAAATGTCTTTTAATTCTGTAAATGCCAAATTATATACACTGACTCGGAAATTTCACATCAGCTTTGGATCATTCATGCAGCAAAAGCTATCATGTCTTGGGACTTCACATGGGCATTTCTAGACAGCCCTGTGGACACTGCCTGTGATACTTTGCCTCTCACAGACTGGACCTACTGTGCATATGCTAGTTTTCGGGAGACAGCATAGGATGAGCAAAGAGAGTTGTTTCCTTTTTGTATATGGAAATATTAACGGGGAGAATGAGAGCCCCTCTGCTTTAGAATCTCATTTCTCTATGATTTCTATCTCAGCCAAGAAGCCAGGAATGACTAAGGAAAATCACTCCTTGACAACTGAGTTTGTCCTCATGGGATTTACAGATCATCCAGTGCTGAAGAACCTTCTGTTTTTGGTGTTCTCTGCCACCTACCTGATCACCATGATAGGTAATCTCGGCCTGGTGGCACTGATAATCATGGAGCCTCACCTTCACACACCAATGTACATCTTTCTGGGCAACCTGGCTCTCGCGGATTCCTGTTGTTCCTGTGCCATCACCCCCAAGATGTTAGAGAACTTCTTTTCTGAGGACAGAATGATTTCCGTCAATGAATGCATGGTACAGTTTTATTTTCTCTGCCTTGCTGAAACTGCAGAGTGCTTCCTCCTGGCAGCAATGGCTTATGATCGCTATGTGGCCATTTGCAGCCCCCTGAAGTACCACACCATGATGTCAAAGAAGCTCTGCATTCAGATGACCGCAGGGGCCTTCATAGCTAGTAATCTGCATTCCGTGATCCATGTAGGGCTTCTATTCAGGTTAACTTTCTGCAGGTCTAATCAAATTGACCATTTTTTTTGTGATATCCTTCCACTCTATAGACTCTCCTGTACTGACCCTTACATCAATGAATTAATGATATATATCTTTTCAATGCCAATTCAGATCTTCACCATTGCCACTGTCTTGATTTCTTATATTTGCATCCTTTTTGCTGTTTTCAAGATGAAATCCAGAGAAGGGAGAGGTAAAGCCTTTTCTACCTGTGCGTCCCACTTTCTGTCTGTCTCCACATTCTACATCTGTCTTCTCATGTATATTCGCCCACTTGATGAAGGGGATAAAAATATGCTGGTGGCAATTTTTTATACAATAGTAATTCCTGTACTAAACCCTTTTATTTATAGCCTGAGAAATAAGGAGGTAATAAGTGTTCTGAAAAAAATTACGAAGAATCATATTCTTAAGTGAACTTCATCCTCAGTGAAAAACATTTTAATGTATTAAAATGGCTTCACAGATAAGGGGCATAGAAACCTAAAAATGTGTTTTATATGAAATAATAATCTCTAAGTTATTAGACTTTTTGAAAAGGTATATGAATGGAATTTCAAAATTGTCTGTCAAATCTTCATCCAAATTCCACCATTACCAAGTAAAGCAGGAGGAAACTCAGTGGTAACTTTCATTATCAACTCTCCTGGAATTGTGTCAGCCTATCGTTCCAAATAAATCAGCACAGCATCAAAATTAAATGTTTAAATGTGCAGAAGAGTCTGCCTTGATTAACCTTGTCTAGTTCATGGAAGACATTATATCTAATCCTATGTAGAGGGTTTGAAACATTTAAAATTTCCTAGCAGGAGTCTCATCATTTTCATTTCAGAAAACTGACCTGGCAGACACATGTAGATTAGTTTAGGGGAGAGAGGCTAGAAGCAAATTAATTGCAGTAATCCATTTTTAAAGTAATGAAGTTTAATCTAGAGAAGACCTACAAATGGAGAGGAAAGTGGAATGAGAGGAAATACACACACAAAGTCACATATACTTTATGTAGAATAGTTAACAATGAATTATAACAAGTTGACTGTAGTAGATTAAGATCTACTTTAACCTGTAGTAAGGCCCTTTAGCTTTTTATAAGCATCAATCATGTTATGTATTATAGAATATAGGACATCAAATTACATGGTAAACACTCAATAAGCATTTAAAAACATTAATAGCCCAGCCGGGCGTGGCTCAGCGGTTGAGCCGAGACCGAGGATCCAGGTGATTGGGGTTCGATTCCCGGTCAGGCACATGCCCGGGTTGCTGGCTGCAGCCGATCAATGACTCTCTCATCATTGATGTTTCTGTCTCTTTCTCTCCCTCTTCCTTCCTCTCTCTGAAATCAATAAAGATATATTTTTTAAAAACTATAAAAACATTAATAAAGTCACTTTTGTTTTTATATTTTTAAGTAATAATGAAATTAATTAATATTTTGTGTTTACTGGCCATTTTTACTTCAATGAATTATCTGTTCAATTTTTCTTTAAGTCTCCTTTGTTATTTCCTAATTTATTTATGCAACTGTTTACAGAGAAAAAATATTAAATTGCTGAAACTATTTGTGGCAATTGATTCCTGTGTATTAATACTATTTTAATATTTATTTATTTATAATTGATATAAATTTAAATTTTATATGCTCATATGTTTATTTTTGTACTATATGATCTTTTTACTTCTTTGTTTATAATTTCTTAATCTGAGATCTACTATTAATTAATATATTTCTTTTCCTCTTTTTCTTTTCTCTCCTCCTTGCTTTCCGAAGCCCTCCTCTTTTTTTATTTCTTTTTCTTTTCCTTTTTCTTTTCCTTTTTCTTTTTTTTTTTAATAGTTTAAATTTTTGTACTTCAATTCTGATTCTGCCTGGAATTTATTAGTAGATGGCATGAATTGAAGATGTAATTTTATTTGGCTNCCTTTTCCTTTTTTTTTTTAATAGTTTAAATTTTTGTACTTCAATTCTGATTCTGCCTGGAATTTATTAGTAGATGGCATGAATTGAAGATGTAATTTTATTTGGCTTGTTTCTCCAAAAATTATCCAGAGATTAATTTAACACAAAGAAATACTCAAGGAGAACTTCTTTGAGATCCTGGCAAGATAGTTCTAAAATTTTTCTAGAATAATAATAATCAATAAAACAAATAGACTTGATGTATATAGATTAAAATATATGATGAAGTTCCAATAGTTAATACAATTTTATCTTAAATCAAGACTCAGTAAACAGACCAATTGAAAAAATCAGATTCTCCGCATTTTAATACTCCTATGTAAAATAAGAAGAGCACCACAAATCAATGAGGAAAGAAAGGACTGATAAGCGAATAGTCTAGATAAATTGATTAGCTGTTTATCTCTTCCATTTGTGTTGAAATTTATGTTTCCCCTCATTGAGATCTTTTATAAACATAACTTGAATTTTTCTTTTCTCATAGCTTAAATTTTTATACATAGCACTCTTACTCAACTGGGATTCATTTTAAAACCTTGTAAAGTGAGAATTAAAATTTGATTTTTGTATGGCTAACCAGTAGTTAGTTGCAAAGCATTTATTATCTAACTCTTTCCTTACTCACTGATTTCTTATGACTTCTTTTTCTTCATACACAATCATACACTCACAGGCACTTGTATATGGAGAGGGGTCTATTTCTGTTCAATAAAAACAAAAACAGACAGTCCCAAAATCTACACTTATATTCTAGTAGGAAAGAGAGACATTTTGAGAAGTAATTAAGCGAAGCAGTAATGACTTTTATGATTGGAAAAGATTCTTCTGCCTCTAACCATAGTCTGAATGCTAGGATTCTGTAAGTTTCAGACATGAGGTTCTCTATTCTATCATTTTTATTGTTTCTTTTTATACGACTCCATGTATTTTTTATGGCTTTTAATATCATCAATATGAAGATGACCCATAATGTATGTTTCCAGTCCTCTAATCTGCAGACTCATGTATCTAACTGTCAAGAAGGGCATCATTATTTGGAAGTTTCAAAGACATCTTAAATTTAACATGACCAAAAAGCAACTCTCAAATTTTCCCCAAAACATGGCTCTCCCTGGTCTTCTCTGTCTTGATGGCAGCAGCCTCCAACCAGCTGGGCAAGGAACAAAGGATGTTCTGGAAAGATAACTGGACTTGATGGACGATCGCTGGGAGTGCAGCTTTTACAACATGAAGGGAATGAAATGTAGGTTACAGGCAATTAAAAAGAGTTAATAAAAATAGCAGGTACAGAATGTTTTTTAAGAAGTTTGATGCTAAAAATTGAGAAAAATGAGATTGGAACTAAAGAGTTGTGAGGTCAATTAAGGCTTTCCAAAACGGGACAGAACTATGCAATTTAAGGAAAAAACACCTTTTATAGTGGCAAAGTCTGAAGTTAGTTGAACATTTTGAGCACTAACTTTTTTTTTTTTTTTTTAGAAATATGATCTCTTTGGCTTTTAGTACATTACCCTCTCTTCCCCTCCCTTTTGCTCCCCCTCTTCTCCTTTTTCCCAGCCAACCTCTAGCCTTGTGCTGTTCAGTAGGTAGCCACGAAGGGCATGGCTACTGAGCACTTAAACTGTATATAATCTAAATTATGTGTACTATAAGTATTAAAAATCACATTAGAGTTCGAAGACTTGGTATGGAAAATTAATATAAAATATTTTATATAATTTTATATTGATTATATGTTGAAAAGATACTTTAGGTGTATTTCATTAAATAAAATGTATATTATTAAAATTAACTTCATGTTTCCTTTATCTTTTAATGTGGTTACTAGAAAACTCTCTATTACATATGTAGCTCACATTTATTGCTATTGGCGGCCTTGCTCTAGACTCTATTGCCTAACCCAAACCCTTATATTCAATTGCCAATTAGACATCTTCTTTTAGAAGCTGAAAGGCACCTCATACACAGCATGTGTGGAATGAGCCTTCCCCCTGCTCCTTCCCCCAGGCCTGATCTTCTAGCAGGCCCAGTCTCAAAGGCTGCATAAGCCAGAATTTTAGAGCCTTCTTCTCTGAACCCTCACCTAGTCTTTCATGAAGTCCTGCTCATCTTACATCCGAAAGATTCCTCCAATCTGTCCACTCCACTCGTTCCACCACCTAGGACAGGCCTCATAATCACGTTCCTGGGCAATTTCGATAGTTTGTTCACATCCAGTTTTGCCAGCTTCCCATCTTGTTTTTCATGCTTCTAGCAAGAATTAAGTTACAAAATGTGAATCTGATCATTAATATAAATATTTTTATAAGCCTTCTTTATAAAAACTTTCCATGGATTCTTATTTGCTGTTAGAATGANTAATATAAATATTTTTATAAGCCTTCTTTATAAAAACTTTCCATGGATTCTTATTTGCTGTTAGAATGAAAACCCAAATTTGTAATATCGTTTTAATACTCCACACTATTTGTCCCCTGCCCACCTCTCCACCCTCTCTTGTACCATTTCCCCCCTAACTCACTTTGCCTCAGTGACCCTCTTTCAGTACCTTGAACTTGACACATTTACTCCAGAAATAGGGCCTTTGTACATGTTCTCACAACTCACCCACTTCACCTTTCCCTGGTAAATTCTGTTGAGCCTCCAGATTTCGGTGCAGTGATCGCTTCTTGAAGGAACGCTTCCTATCACTTCCTCCACTCCTCTACCCGCCGCAAGTAATAATGACAGTGACAGTGGCAGTGACGATAGCATTTATTGAGCACTTATGTACTAGGCCCTCTTCTAGTGTTTTGCACATAACGCATTGTCTTACAACTACCTTTTAGTCTCCATTTTCAGAGTATAATCCATTATAATATCCATTTTTTCAATGAGGAAATTGCCGCACAGACAGAATAAATAATTTTCTCACTATCAACTAGAAAGCAGTATAGCCAACAATCAAAATTAGGAACCCTGGTTCCAGAGCCCATGGGGTTAACTACTACTTTATATTGCCTTTTAAGGCGAGGCTAAACCTCTATTATAAATCTCATATCTCCAATAACTTTGCCTTGATAATAGTAAAGCTGTAATTTTAAATTCATTTGGATGGTTATTTGGTAAATGTCTTTCTCCCATAACTGCCCCCTCCTCCAATGTTTAAATTTTATTTTACAAGTATCTGAGGTGGGAAAAATGAGACTGCCCGGCTCGCGGCAGTCCTGACAATGACCCTCAAGGTTTGATCTTGACCTCCAGCCCTGGCTGAGGAGAAAAGAAACCCCCCGCAGCCCCATGGAAAAGAGGCTCCGCTCCCCAATTTTTTAAGGGGAGAAGAGGCAGATACCATATCTGCTTTTGTTTATTGCTTAAGCATAGTGCCTAGTATTGTAGCTGGCAAAAAAGTAGACACCTCATGTGAGGAAGGGAGGGAGG